ATATTTTTTTACGAAGACTCTAAATAACACAACTCAAGAAAAGATGAGATATACTAGAAGACACAACAAAAAATAGAGATAGGTGAAACCTGTTTTGGATGTTGGCTCTGGATACCAACTGATACGAACCCCGTAGAACTTGTAACGAGACCCTAATACCCCACGCGGAAGCAAGATCAAAACATTCAAAAACAAAGATTCAAAGGGGTGGAACCGCGACCCGTTGCCTATAAAGAGGCAAGAACCTTGGTATGTGAAGACGCCACAATCAATTGTGAAAGATCGATTGATAAGCCGGGGTGAACACATCGGAGGCTCTTGAAATTCTTATGTTTGGGTGTTGGGAAATATGGAAGTGTAGATGCAAGGCTATTTTTTAGGAAATTCCGCTGAATAAGTGAATATCATAATAAGGCATATTTTCACGTATTTGAGAGCTCTCAATGATGTCCAGGTGGTCAAACGTTCGTCGACTTCGCTTGGTAGGACAGTTATTCAAAACTTGAACGTGAAGCGGGTAGCAGCTAGCCAGAGGCTGTTGGATTATAATTTGTTAGGGACAAAAAACCAAAAACTTAACACCAATATAGTTAGCGTCTTATATATCTTTTTTTAAATATTGATTTTTCTTTATTGCATTGCAATTTGCACATATCAATCATGCATCACATGCATGTGTATATTTTATTTTAAAACTTATATATGAAATGTGTGTAAGCATTTGAACTATTTACGAAATTGAGCCAATTATATATCAGTGAACATTGAGATTAATTTCATTCTGTAAACGAGATAAATCGATAACCAATTAATACTATCTTATATATATCCTGTCACTATATGTTATATAAATATATATTAAAAAAAAAATCGAACACTATTTTTGCAACGGATTTAGTTACGAATGTTTGTCTTTCTAGATACAGTGAGGAATTTGGCAACAAATTTCAAATTTACCGACATATATAGCCACGAATTTTTCAGTTTCTAAAATAGCGATGGATTGTGCGAGGGATTGTTGTGTTTCTCAAATAGCGACGGATGTAGTCATGGATTGTTCTGTTGCTAAACAATAGATATGGATAGCGACACGGGTTTTATTGATGGACTTAGCTACGATCATTATTCCTCGCTAAATCTTGATTAGCAACGGATTTGTGTCATTTTGCAATGAGTTTGTCCGTTGCTAAATTTTGTTTTTCTAATAGTGTATGTTTTTTTGTGAACTAGGGGGGCTAAATGTGAAACTGAGGTAAACTTGAGGGACCAAAAGTCTAGTTTATCCCCCTTATAATCTAACAAAAAGATTAAAAATTGTAAAATAAACTAACAAAACAAGTAAAACACTTAGAAATGCAAACTTAAGGTCGGTGATTACGACTCTTTTGGCTTCTGAAGACACATAACTGTCAATTTTCTCGAATGCGGTTGGGTGAATCTAGAAAATTGAGCATAACTTCTGCCTCTGAACTTCTTTCTTATAAACCATTTTTTTGTGTTTGAAACTACACTTCAATACTTTTTAATTATATATGTAGGAATGGGCTATATTTTAAAACAATTCTTCTCTCAAAAGTCCGCTTTGTGAAACTAATTGACGTATCGAGAAGTGTTCAAATGAATAATTCACTTTGCACATAAATAAACAATTGAGCTTGGAGAAGTCCGCTTTGTGAAACCAAAGAAATCACCTCATAAAATACTTACAGTCTGGAGAGACGAGGGATTAATTTAAATGATAGGATGATGTCTCCCTAGAGAATTCTCTTGAAAACAGAATTGCTAGAGATTATGGAGATTACTCACCTCAATATATAGTACTTGATAACATTAGACATCTTTCGAGGCGCATAGTTTCAATCAGAGGGCAAATTAAGATTATTTTGTCAAACATCTCTTCATTAATGTAGAGTTTTTCGAGATAAAGTTCTTTTATATGCTTAGAAAGTATCTTGTGATCTTCAATAATCAAAATGAATCTTCTCATACATAAATCTTTGATAGATTCAGCTTCAAAGACTATAGATGGCGGATGAACCTATCTGTATCAATTCAAATAAACTTTGTTACACCCATATTTTTAAGTAATGTGATCCATTTTTGAAGAAACAAAACCGATTCTTAATCATAATTGTAGCACAACCTTTGATCACAATATCGTATGTGTTACACTTACTATGTTTAATTCAAGGGTAAATTACACCCACACCCCTGAGGTATGTTAAAATAACTTTAAGGTCCCCTGTTGTATCGGTAACTACAATTACCCCCTAAAACATTGTTAGAAACTCTAACAGGTTAATACATTGGATACGTTGTTCCGATAAAGTTTTAAGGGACTATTATTTTCAGCAAGTGGTGGAGACAACATAGTGTTATGGGTGATTTAAGAAATATTGGGGGAACCATCTCACCCCCTAGCTCTATGTTGTCCATCACTTACTGAAACTAATAGTATGTTAGAACTCTATCGGAATAACATATCCAATGCATTATCCCGTTAGAGTTTCTAACAGTGTTTCAGGGGGTAATTGTAATTACCGATACTACAGGGACCTTAAAATTATTTTGCATACTTCAAGGGTGTATATGTAATTTACCCTTATTTATTGAGCCGTATGTGGTTACAATAGCCACTTCCTCAAAGATCCATTTGTTATTTTATTGCTAAAAGTTAATGTTGGACCAAAATTGATATTGTAGTGACTTGTGGGAAGTTGTAAAGATAGACAGAAAGATAACTTTGACTGTTAGTGGGAACTATGACATGTTTTGAGAAATTATTAGTATGTTCTCAATCTATATGATATGATAAATCAAAAAATAAATACTCAGAGATGTAAGTTTATAATAATGATGATCAGAAAATAAAAAAAAGAATTTTGTACTCGATATCTTTTATTTTGAAAAATAATTGGATAGTATTAATTATTAACTCCATCTCGTATAATATGTTCTACATTATAAAACATCAATATGTTATATTATTTTACTTGCTTTTAGAATTCAAGAAGTACAAAAATTAATTATTTCAACCTTGCAAGTAAATAAATGCAATTATTTCAAATTTATAAGATTTGAAAATCATATCAAATATATCAATTCAACAATTCGCTTTTAAGACGAAATTAAATAGTTGTCGCAAGTAAGTCTCGTATATCCCCACGTAATAATTATTTCAATAATTCCTATATTAGCACTTTAGCAGCGAGTAAATGATAGCATCTGGATCGAGATTAATTCCAGTTTATGAGTAAACTGAATTCATATACATGAATTTTTCCTTGATAGAATTTCAATAACTTTCTGCAAAAAAATTGCCATTTTTTATATTTATTTTATATATAATTTATATAAATAAAACATAATATTTATAAAAATCAAATATTTTATCTTCTTAAGTAAATGAACGCAATCACATTCACTAATAAATTTTATTGTACTCTACAACATTTCACTTACTATTTAAACAAACAATTCCACATAATTTTCTATTCACCAAAGAAAAGTTAAATAGGTCACTATTTTATTGGAAAAAAACAATTAATAATTTTTGCCTATTTTGCCCTTACCTTTTAACCACCCTAATACTACCATTGTTGACTCATTTCAAAGGTCTCGGATCCTGTCTATATATTGAACGTCCGTGACACATCAGAACTCTTCACACACACGAGTAAGAGGCGTAAGAGATATTGAGTTTGTGTGAATAAAATACAAAGGGTGAAAATAATATTGAGTTTGAATCAAAGGTAAAACTCGAAGATGGAGAAAGGAGGAAGCTCAAACATAGAATATAAATATACAAGAAGAGCACGAACATCTGGTACAACTGCACTCAATTTTTCCTGCAAATCGATTTTTAAGACTAAATCCATATGAACAATGTGCATAGATTTGTTTTTTTTTTCAATTTAATTTTCCCATCTCTCATTTGCAGAAGTAAAAATCAATTGTTAATTTGCTAGATTTAGTTTTAGGATAGTCGATCTTCTATGAGCTAATTTGGGGCGATTTAAGTCCACAAATATTTTTGATTCTTCATGGATATCTTTGTGATAAAAATCGATCTTTTGCCGCTTTCGTATATCATTCTATTCTGATTTCTTTTATCCTTGATGAGCAACGCCTTATTGAATTTTAATTTCTATGGTACTTTTTAGGAGAAAAAATGGTGAAAACACATTAATATTAATTATTTTGATTTTATTCATGTACTAATTGGATAATTTTCCATGTTTTCACTTAAATCCAACACGGTGTAATTAGTTCCTTAATTCAATCAAAAAAAATCACAGTTAAGGATTGGTCTTTATTTTATCACAAAACAAAATGTAACCATATGGATCAAATTATAATGAGTTCTTAATGTGGATGAAATTGGTTTCGATGAAAAAAGGAAATTTATGTCAATATAATCTTAATTTTTTTTAAGGATGCATCTCTGTTTCAATTCAAGTATTATGTTGCATATATCATTTATCGATACACGTCATATGTATGTACATATTAAATAATCTTCAACATAAAACATATGAGTAAAAAATGTTACATAGTATAAAGAGTGTGAATTTAGTGCAATAAAAGTGAACTTCTCATGCATTTTACACAATTTGTTAGCTATTGGACAAAAAGGAATAAATTCACCCCAATATACTTGGTTCTTTTTGTACGTGATAAAGATAATAGAAATTGGTCATAAAACAAGACCAAGAAATAGCAGAAAATTGCCTAGTCAATTTAATTTATACATGTACTTGAACAAGTTTGAGTTTTTAGTTTGTTCTACTTATATATTTTTGAAAAATATTGTTTTTTCTTTATTGTATTGCATAGATATGAATCCTACATCGCATGCATGTTTATATTTTGTTTAAAAGATCACATATGAACTGTGTATATGCCTTTGAACCAATTATATATTTGTGTGTATTGAGATTACTATCATTGTGTAAAAAGAAGATAAAGTGATAAGATTTCCATCAAAATATGTTAATAACCAATTAATATTCTCTTTTTATATATATATCATTTCAGGTATAGTCATCCGGGAAGGGGGTGCCGCCCGTGCAGCTGCTACCGCCACCAATGCTGCCAACATTGCGGGCGCCCCACTGAATGTCGTTGCTGAAGAAGTGAACCAACAGCAGCAGGGCTTCAAAAGAGAGGCAGACGAGTACATGCTGATAGCCAATATCACCCGAATCTTGCGGCGCGTCCTCCCCACCCATGCCAAAATCGCAGACGATGCCAAGGAAGCTATCCAGGAATGCGTCTCAGAGTTCATCAGCTTTATCACCACCGAGGCAAACCGGCGGTGCCGCCGTGACTACAGGAGAACAGTCACACCGGAGGACGTGCTGGCAGCAATGGCCTCTCTAGGTTTCGACGACTATTTGGAGTCGCTCACAGTTTTCCTCAACAACCACCGCACGCAGCAGGACCCCGAGCGTGGCTCTAGGAATCAAATATCGCAGATTGTTAGGCGAGATGGCGGCGTCGGAGTTGGCTTCCTTCACCACCAGCAACCGCAAGGTGCTCCCACGATGCGCCCGCCGCCACCACCACCACTGGCGGCACCAACAATGGGGTATTATGTCCCCGTACCGCCACCTGTTGCTGCTCCAATTGAAGACGAGGAAGAATTTGGTGGGCTGCCGAAGGTAACAAATGAATTTGGTGGTGGAGAAGAGTTTGACCCGTTTCAGTAGTTTAATTTGAAGTAGTAGAGTACTATGATTTATGATAAAATGCACTGAAAACCCACAAACAATAATTAAAAGCTTTTTTCTATTGTTGTGAAATATTTTTATTTTATTATCATTTTCAAGGGTTGTTAAAGATTTTTTGCTACATGCATATATTGACTTTTATAGATTAGTTGAAACTGATATTTTTTTGATTTTTTATAATAACATATACTTGGTTTCTTTATAAAAAATATCAACTGGATTTTGGTATAACAAACCAAACTTATCAAAATAATACTACTTTAAATGGCATTGTTACAATATCGTAAATAGTGGTTAAGGTAATGGTGTGACATTCTCAACACTATAAGAACAAAGTATCGTATTATCCAGTGTAGTCAATATCGCGATACGCAACGAATTCTATAGAAACGATTACTCGGCATCTTTATCGATCTTCCTCAAATATTGGTAAACATCGCACGATATCGTGATACGCCCCTCAACAGTTAGCACAAGCTTAAGACTACGCAACCAATCTAGGTAATTAGGGCCATTGAGTTTATTGTCGAGGATTGACATTATGGGATTCTTAGACATGATTATCTGAGACATATAGAGAAGAGGATTATTAGAGATTCGCGTTAAATGATTGTTACAATTAAATGTTTGGACTTATGTTATTTAATTGTTCTCCCACTAATTTTATCGAGTTCCACTTCCCTCTAGTAGACAAACGAGAAAACTGATTTTTCTTAATGGGCTTTAGGTCCAATAGACAAATATAACCCGTAGTTAATCTAGCCCGATTATATTTACCCAAAGGTAGATCACAATCAATCATATCCACAATATGACCCTAAATTAATTTTCCTCACACTTGATAATGACCTAAGTTAATCTCGCGAATATCAAAATCGTCGTGTGTCAAGTCTAACCTACCAATCAAAGATGCTCATAGAACTTGATTATGCCAAACTAATGCAGTCCCTAGTTAATCTAGCCGACCACGTTAATCCAACATAACCCTTTCCTATGGCTACCTTCATCGCTATGTCAATTGAATTAAAACTTACTCTACCATAGCACTCCCCGATAACACGGCTTACTGCACTACAGCAAAGGGCTACACATAATTCAACCGTTGGCAGAAGGAAAGAAATAACTCAACAGATTGGGTTTTTCTTTATAGCTTGAAATGATTCTCAATTAGATTAAGAATGAGGGGTTTTATTAAAAGTTTTTTATCTCATCAGAAGGTTCGGATTGGTCTATGTGATTCCTACATCTATGTTCTCTAAAGGTATATGGAAACGCATATTGTCCTAAGAGGAACATACGACCTATAATTTCATAATTAATTACATTAATTAATTATCGGGCTTTCAAAATAATTATAGAACCTCAACTAGCATAAATCATTCATATAATGTTGAGGTACTACTAATAAAGTTGAACTTATAATCAATATTATATTTGTGTTCTATTAATAGAAATCAATTTAACAATTTAAATCAATTTGATTAATCTAACACCTATTTACTAAAATAAATGATTGTCGATCCAATTATCTAATTGGGATTAATTGAATATAATTTTCCAAAAATTAAAATCAATTTGTTTTAAGTTTAATTTTAGAAATCTGAAATAAAACTTTTTTTTTTTTTTTTTAGTGAACCGGTTCGGCCCAACCGGTTCGGACCGGTTCGGACCGAATCGGTCCGGTTCTGTCCGGTCCAGCTGACCCAAATCAGTGGGCCGGGTCAGTCGGACCGGGAACCGGTCTGATCGACCCGAATCCACGTGGATTCGGTCAACTAGGTCGCACACAACCATCGAACCGGCCGGTTCGACCGGTTCGATCCGATTAAACAAAAACCGATGTTTTAAAAACAATTTCAGATCCGATTTTCCGATTTTAAACAATTTTAAAGCTGGAAAATTCTAAACAATATTTCAAAAATATTTTAAACTTACGAAAACTCCCAATTACATAATACGACAATCACTACTTTAATAAATCGAACATGCATAAAATCATAGCATATTATACAACGCAATTAATTACGCAACGAGCTGTGATACCACTGTTGGGTTTCGGGCACGTGTACGCAGCGGAAAACAAAAATTTAATGTGATTTAAACGACTTTAAAGCACACAAGCACATGCCCGACAAATTAAAATCAATTAATTGCGTACCTTTGCGCTTCCAGCGAAATTAAAAAACAACATACATGCTAAATAATTTAACCGAATTTAAATCAATTAACATGCTCGCGTTTAAACCAAATAACATGCTTGCAACGATTAAAACGATTACACATAATCACATAAAATCATACGAAAGCAAACATGAAAATATAGTTTAAACGTAAACGAATCGAAACAAGGGATTCGTGTGTTTACCTCTTGAAGCGTGAGGTAGGAGCGCTTAGCAAGTCGAGATTGCTACGGAAACCAATCCGTACAATCGGGGCAGCAGCGGTGCAGCGGCAGCAGCGGTGAAACGGCCACGGCGGCGCATGGATTTCACGCGCGGTCTTCCGGGGCGGCGCGTGGGGTAGCGTGCGGCTTCGGCTCGTGCGCTGCTCCTCGATTCCTCGATCTTTGATCTTCCTCCTCTCGGATTTCACCTCGTATACTTCGATCTACTAAACACGTGGCACTAGACACGTAATAGTTAGAAAAACGGAACAAAAAGAGAAGGAAAGAAACTACCGAAGCAATCGGCCGACGAACGGCCGATTCCGGTGAGATTTCCGGCGACGGCGGCGGTAACGGCCGCGGGAGAGAGAGGCCGAGAGAGAGAGGTGGACGGCTGCTAGGGTTAGGGTTTTCACTTTTTTTTTGTGCAAGACCTATAAATCTTGTATTTATAGTGTCTTGCATAAAACCCTAGCGGGCTTAAGTTGGACCGGACCCAACAGCTTAAGTTCGCTAGTACTTTTACTTGCTCGTTTCTCTCAATCCAATGATCGGAAAATTGCAACAATTACATTTTCGGAATCATTATAATATCCTCGTCATTACGAGTGCCATCTTTCATTTTCCAACTTTCCAAAAGTGGAAACCCTAGTTCAGTGCACTTTCTAAATTTGGAAACTTCCCGATTTAGAAAGTTCACTAACACGTTCGCCTATTCTTTTCCTTTTCTTATTCTCATTCATAATTCCAAATTACGAATGTTGGATCCAATCATATTGACTTCCAATCATGCAAAGATAAACTATTTTATCTCTGACCGTTTATTCAAAGATCTCATGTGCACGAGCAGTGTGACCCTCGATGGTTCAGGTGTAAGCTAGCCGTGGGCCCACAACTCTTTGTGGTCAAAACTCGTCCCTTAGAGTTACGATTAAGATGAAGCTCGTTTCACCTTAATCACCCAACGAATCAAGATTGGCGTCTAGCAACTACGCGTCATGATTCCCTAGATACAAATGAAGTGCCTGCAAGAACCTTCAGATATAGTTAACGTACAGTACGGTCCCTTCGATTCATATGTCCCGATTGAACTAGAGGCATTGGTTCATCGAGACCTCTTTATATGTTCAATGACGGTGCGATCGTTCCAAGTGTTGTAATCGTCACGTGCATGACTTAGAGAATCGAATTCTCTAGTCATCACTTAGTCAGCTCTGGCCAGAGACGTAGAATGATTACAAACTTTCAGAACACACAGGACATCCAAGACTATTCTAGCGATCGAATCCCCGACTACAATGCACAGACCTCCCACTAGATTTCGGACTGCACGAACACTGGCCCTTGGGATGGTCCTCGGTGGAACTCAGGGACAGGTCACGATACAGCTGGTCCTCTAGTGAAGTCACGGTGATGTCTAGGTCGTAAGGACTAATGGTGTACAACTATACCATAGATATCTCTACTCGATTATTGGGAACAACTTAGAGATTTCTAGGGTGAGGGAGTTCAGTGAACTCGTCAACTTACGAGCACCCACTTATGCATGCCGATATCACAATACCGTTTACTGATGAGATGCAGTATACATACACTAAGTGCTAGTCTTAATGGGAAAGGCCGATATCCTCATTAGTGGCGTAACCCTTCGACTAGGAACACGTTTAACAGTTATAATACTTGAGTAAATATCTCACGATCCTAACGATCAATTACTAGTACTTGTAATAACTGTAAGGACTATATCTATGCTTGTGACAAAGGGACAAAGATATAGAATGCCAAGGTGTTTTATCATTAATACGAATAAAGGTTCGTTTATTACAATAATAAATACGAAAGACCACAGCCACATGTTGGCTTGTTGGTCACCTACTCTAACAGGACGTAAAAAAAAAAAAAAAGTCAACACCGGAGACCGGCGAAAATGTCTGGAAGAAAAAAAAAATCGAAAAGTCAACGCCGGAATCTGGCGGCCAAAAAAAAAAATTGAATTTTTTTTTTTACAATTAATAATTGGGTAGAAGGGGTTGGGGTAATATTGGCATATACATGAATGTTTCCTTTATTTATAATAAATATTAAAGGGATGGGCTTATTGGTGAAAGAGATATAACCCCTAAACCTAGAATAGTAAAGATGCTTGGTTAGGGACTTATGCACAAACACCCCTAAAAATAATATCATATAAATAATTTATAAATAAAATAATATTAATCATATGTCAAAATGGAGAGAGAGAGAGAGAGAGAGAGAGAGAGAGAGAGAGAGAGCTGAGCTTGAGTTCAACATGCTCGACTCAAGCTTGAGGTTAAGCTCATAAAATGGATGCTAGATGAGCTTCAGCCCGAGGTCGAAAATTTTGGCCGACTCGACTAGTTTACATCCATAGTGTCATATATGACTACAAAGTAGGATAAATTATCAAAATACCCCTAATGGAAAATAGTAATATAATTAGAATTCATGGGTTTTATTTATTTTGGAGTAATCAGTGTTTGTGATTATTCTTTGCCTGTTGGTTTGAGGAATAATTCTTATGGGTTGGGAGGTGTTGAGGATTTGACTGATATAGTAGTTCGATGCGTTCCATATAAATAGAGGCGTAAACGAATCGGGTCGAACCGAACATATTTTTTAATGTTTATCAAGCTTTCACAATTGTGTTTAAGCTTTG